ACAGTTACTGGTAGTTGTGAGCCACCATGCGGGTGCTGGGAATTGAACTGGAATCCTCTGAAAAGCAGCCAGTGCTCTGGGAGTCACCTTCCAGGCCTGCGTTAACTTGTTTATGTGTGTGTTTGGTAAGGGAGGGCTGAACGTGCTGGAATATGGGGAGGTCAGCATATTTTCCTCTTCCATGAGGGTCCCAAGGATCGACCTCAGGTTGTCAAGCATGCCTGCAAGCAGCTTTACCCACTGAGCCGTCTCCTTGGTCCAACAGTTTTATCTTGAAAAATCAGTTCACAAGAGTCTATGAGTTAGTTCTCCATCCTTGTTACAGATGCCTAGTACTCACTGTATGATTATACCTTTTTAAAAATTAGTTCTCTATTAATACCAGTTTAGATGAACAGTATTTGACTTCCAAAAATAGCATAGTGTGAGCTGTGGTGTGTGTGTGTGCCCAGTGAATGTGAGGTTCACGTCTCAGTTACCCATCACTAAGCCCCCAAACAAAGTAATGTTGTAATTAATGCTATTTATATACATTTTTTGAGACAGGGTCTCCCTACATAGCCCTAGCTGTCCTGAACCTCACTATGTAGACCAGGCTAGCCTTAAGTTCCAGAGCTCCACCTGCCTCTGCCTCTCTGCCCCTCTCCTCTGTCCCTTTCCTCTGCCCTCTCCTCTGCCCCTCTCCTCTGCCCCTCTCCTCTGCCCCTTTCCTCTGCCCCTCTGTCTCTGCTTCCTCTGCCTCCTCTGCCTCCTCTGCCTCCTCTGCCTCTGCCTCCTGAGTGCTGGGATTAAAGGCAGGCACCACTACACCTGGCTGTATACATCATATTTTGTGCTATTGTGTGGATGGCTTTTAGTGTTGTGTGGTAATTCCGAGTTCAAGAATGCAGAAGAGGCTTGCACCATTAGTCTGGTACAGAGACAGGCTGTTGAAGGAGGCAGTGATTAGGGAGTGGGGGTTGACGGCCTGATCAGATGCCAGTGTCCCTGTGCTTCTCTCTCCCTCATCAAGAAAGGAATAGAAGAACCATTCTATAAAATGAGATATGCCACTGCTTCAGTCAGGAGTGCAGCCCATGAGCAATAGCAAAGGAACCGTGGTCTGCTTTTAAAATAACCCACTCATAAATCGGACAGTTGTATAGAAAGGTGTTACTGTGCCGTATGTTTCTCTTTAGTAGCCATTTCAGACCTGGATGGCGTGTGCTTTGCTTTTGTGATTTCATGACTGCCTTTCCCCCTGGGCCTCAGGTCCCTGGTGGTAACTAATGAGTATCTGCTGCAGCAGCTGAATAAAGAGCAGAAAGGCTATTCCAGGAAATCGCTCCTGCCTCCCGAGAAGAGCCATCCTCTGGGGAGATCATCACCCTTTGGGAAAAGCACGTTGTCTTCCTCCTCACCAGTGGTACACGACACGGGTCAGTACCTGATACAGAGTGTCTCAGAAGCTGACCCCAAGCCTAGTCTGTGGAGCTAGCACCGAAATCTTCCCCACCAGCTCTCTCACTCATGGAGGACGCCCAGTGCCGCTGTCCCTGTGGTGGGTACTGGTGTTCACCCCCAAAGATTAAGAAAAACTTATTATGATTACTTTATATTGTCCCTCTTTTATTTTTTCCATTTATTTCCTCCCATTTGGTCATTCTTTCCTTCTGCCCACACAAATTGTTGGCACTTGGTCCTAGGCACCACTTCACACAGAAACATTTGATTGAAAATGTCAGAAAGGAAAAAATAGTGGACACTTTTCAGTGTCATTCGAGGCTGTGGCAGAAAGTTACAAAAGAACATCTGTCACTGTCTTTTGTGTTGGAAGTATTTCCAGAGACTGAAACATTTGGAGTCTTCTCCCGCCATAGTGCAAGTGTATACACTCTCGAGGAGCCGACAGCCTGCTAGGACTCAGGTGACGGTCCTCAGAGGTTGGTCTAATGACAGCCTGGAATAAGAGCATGTGAGTGAATGTCGGAGTCCATGTGGAAGCTCTAGTGAAGTCTCAGTGTGTAGTGGGTCTCACAGATGAGAATGTTAATGGAAAGGTGCAGAGCCTCTTAGACTGGGATGCAGAGTCTGGTGATCCCTGAAGGATCGTGGGTCAGGGATACAATGAGATATGGTACCACAGGAGTATGTGATAGGACATCAGTCTTTGCCTGGAGAATGCAATGTCAGGAAAATGTCCCCAGAGGACAGTCAAATGAGACCTGAAAATAAGCAGGTTACTAGGCAGGGCATAGGATCAAGAGCAAGAACAAGAGGAGAGCTGCAGCTTTGCTGTGTCACCGAGGGAGTGGCTCCTCTCCAGGGCTGGAGGCTGGGAAGGCAGAGGAGCTCGGCTGCATGGCTCCTTGCAGACTTCCCACTAAGGGGCTGAAGGATAGAGGCGTGCACTTAAAAGGCTCCCTCTATAAGGAGAAGGGCTGACTGGAGCAGGACAGGCTAAGCACAAAGAAGCTGGACAGCAGAAGCAGCAGGAGCAAGCCCACCCAAGGCACGGCTTGTGAGCATGCCTGGGTTCAGTGCCCTTTCACACATGAGGATTATACATTCTTTGGTCCTGATAGATCAGCTATCTTAAACCTCAGTGGATCTGCTTCTATACCAGCTTTCTCCAGAGCTGCCAGAAAACAAACCGCTGTCACTCTGATGCCACCTCACCTATGTCACCATGTCAGGAAAAGAGGCAAGGGGCTAACTCACATGCCATGCAGGGAAGGAGTCTGGTGTCACAGTGTGGGTTGTGAAGCCTCCATGTTTCTGAATTATAAATAAATCCAGACACCTAGGTTTATCTTCTCAAGAGGAGCCATAAGCTTTTGTCTACACGGTCCACAAAAGCCAGCTCCTCTGTCTCCTTGTCCCATTAAGAAGTCTCCATAGAGCCTAAGCCTTGCCTAGAAAGGGGGATGTCTGAGTTGTTACATTTTAGAAACAACTCAGGGCACAAGCCACCTTGCTATGCGAGCCACTGTGGGCAAACACGGTGTATCTTTGTACCATCCACCTCTTCCTGCCCCTAGTATGAGCATCTTACGGTGGCAGTCCAACATCTGCACAGAGCTCCTCTAAAAGGCAGTGAAGAGCCTGGTATTCTAAGCCACCTCCATCACCATGTCCCTTGTCACAGGAAATGGCTGGTCCTGACTCAGGCCAGCCATTCTTGGGCTTCTGGTCATTCCTGGGGAAGTAAGTTCTCTCAGATTCTGATTTTTCCTGATGTGTCATGTAGTCTGGGGGACAGGAGGTAGCTATTATAATGTCAAGGGAAAGGCCATAGCTGTCACCATGCAGGGCTAGCTGGAACCAACTTGGAGGGCAGAGAAATCCCTCTGGAGCGAAGAAAAATGAGTAGAGAGGCTGGCACTCTAAGCCTGCCCAACAGTGGAAGAGAAGAAAGCAATTCTGATGTGTAACCAGTTCTCAGGAAGGTCTCTGCCCAAACAGACTTCCTCACTGTAGAGAGGTATTTAATGGGGTGGCCTTGCCAGCAGAGCCTTGCTGGAGAAGGCACTCATGGATTTTAACCTCGGGAGTCTCCCTGGCCCTAAGTGGACCTTGAGGTGCTTCTGGCTCTATGTGGCTTTTCAAAGAAAACAAGAGATCTTTCTGCTACTACGTGGTGTTTAGGGTCAGGCAATACCTGCCCCCTTTCTCCAAGCCATCCCACCAATCACAGGAATAACAGGCTGCTGCCCCCCTCCTCATTAGCTGTCTTCCTCCCCCACTCATCCCTGCAACTCTAGCTGAGAGTGAGGGCCACGTATGGACCCAGGTAAACCCACTTGCTGTGATGATCTTTCAGTAAGTAGAAGCTGGGAGAGTTTAGAATTTCCATGATGCTCACTGACTTGAAGCTTGTGATTCAAGTGGATTTCCAAGGCTAGCTGGAGGGACTACTCCTTTACTGCTGGGGAGGGGAAAGCTGGAGCTCTTCCCAGGTAGCTTGAGATGGACATCCCAGTGAAGAGCCAGCCTCTGGCATCTGGGAGACAGGTGCTAGCCTGGGCCCTCTGCTTTCCACCTGACCTTTCTTCATCCCTGTCCGTCTCACACCATTTGTCCGCTTGTCTCCTCTCCATGTGGTTGGGCTTAAGCCCATCGTGAGCAGAACATTGCAGGACAGCCTGTGGGGATGGGGTACACAGAGAAGTTACTGGTGAACCTGAGCCTCTGAACCTGGAAGCTGTCCTCTCGTGGACAGGCCAGACCACCAGCTCCTGGTTACCACAGCAAGGAAGCAAAGCACATGCTTGGGAACTGTTCTATCCAGACACCAGGGACTCCGAGGATGGATGGTCTGGAAGGGAACAAAGTGGCCCCACCTTCCCCATCAGAATGATGAACAGATGGGACGGAGTCAGCCAGGAGTCCCTCACTGGGACACCAGGCTCATCACTGGCCATTAGGTCCCGGATTTTTGTTTTGATTTTTTTTTTTTTTTGAGAAACAGTGTTGGGGCTTGCTTGTACCAGACAGGGCTAGCACGAAGGCAAGAGGTTTATAGTTTAGGGTTCATCTGTTGAAATCTTTTTCTTCCCTCAGTTTCCTCCACCATAAAGTTAGGGAATCAACTGTTTATTTTCTAGTTCTTTCTAGCCCTGAATATTCTGAGATTCTGGGCTAGAGCCCAAAATGCCTTACCCTAGTAGCCCCTGTTGGCAGCCACAGTGCTGAGGTCCAGCCCTGAGCCTCTGCCAACTCTGATGTCTCATCCTTCCTTCTCCTGTGCAAATGCTGAGAGAAGATTGAGGCCTTATTGATTGGACAACAGGCTGTGATGTCATCACCCTAGGGTCAGGATCCAGTAAAAAGCTCTGCATCTCCCTAAGGCTGTCTTGGACCGTCAGGCTCTGCTCTGCGCTAATGGGATGCACTCACTAATGGAAGGAGATAGCATCTACCCTTGGCATGGCTGCCAGTGAGGAGGAAGAGCCAGCAGGGGTGTGTGTGCAGGAGGGGATGGTGGGGTGCTGCAGTGTGAATGACCCATCACTGTAGGCTCAGTCAGTCCATCCTGGTACAAAAGGTATCTTTATTGAGGTCTGGGTAAGAATTAGGCACTTGGCCAGAGCAGCAGCTTAAATATGAGGCAAGCAGGCAAGAGTCAGCCATGCCTGGGACCAGGCCGGGGCGGTGAGGATATAGGCACTGACTCCCAGACAGACATCAGGGAGACAGGAAGAAGGGACACAGCAGTCTGGGTCATGAGGCCTGATGGGATGGCCCTGGGACTGGGCAGGAAGCTCTTAGTGGCAGATCCAGCAGGGAGGGAGCCAGGCTTTCTTGCTCCATGTGACCCTGGATCCCAGGCTGGGCCTCCAGTGGGACAGCCTCCCTGGGGGCTTTGACAGGTATCACTTCTTCACCTTGGCATCATAGGTGCCTGCGTTCTTGTAGGCACTCACGTAGCCACTGTCGTCCAGGATGTCCTGCCGTCCAGCAATGCCCTTTCCCTTGCCGCTCTCATCAAAGCGTTCTTTGTGAGATCCCGTATACTTACTGGTGTCCGTCAGCCGGTCCACAGCACCACCTGTTTTAGCTTTCTGTTTGGATAGAGTTCCCACAGAGTCATGTAAGAGGGAACCTGGCCCATCCCACCCCCCCCCCCCCCCCCTGAGACCCCCCACATCCATCTCAGTGGCAGGGCTGGCAGGGCACTTACGGTGACACCAAGGTTGGCTGGTTCTTTGCCCGCTACCAGCTGGCAGATGGCATCAAAGGCCTCTTCCTTGGTCTTGCCCTTGAACCGCTTGGTTGCTAGCTCTTCCAGGGCCTTCTTGAACTCCTCATAGTTGATTACTCTAGCAGACTTTGCCCTGCCGGGCACCACGTACACCATAAGGATCCCCCCTTCTGACATCCTCCCTGATTCCAGCCCTTCAACCCCCGACTTTCTGGAAACATGAGAAACGGGTCGCCTTGGCACTCACTTGACTTTGGAGAAGACGATGTCGACGTCGGTACCCGTTACGGCCTTTCCATCAGCCACCTTACAGTCTTTGCACAGCTTGGCCCAGTTTTTGCCATTCATCTCTTGCCCACTGGCCTTGGGGTCGCCATGGATGGCAAACTTCCGGAAGCTCTCCTCCAGCCCAGCTATGTCAGTGCTTGCTGCCATGCTGCCCTGCGGGATCCGCCTCAGTCACCTCCCAGCCAAGTTAGTCCCACCTCTTCTACACCCAGAATGCCCCTACTGCCTTCTCAAAACCTGTGAGGTCTGAGTTGGCAGCACTTTAGTCCCTCAGTCAAGACTGGGTTGCCTAGGGAGAGAGGGGTTAGCACCTTTTATCTGTCTATGCCCAGAGCAGAGGAAGAACTATGGGTAGAAAGGTGCTGTCGCTCAGTGCCAGCTCTGGATGTCAATAGGGCTCAGAAGATGAAGTCATGATGCATGCCCACATGGCCCTGGGAACAGAAGGGCACTGTCCAGAAAGACTGTGAGGATAGCATCTAGGGCCATGGCTTTGTCTGTCCCTGGCACAAAGCCTGGTTGGGTGAAAGTCGGGGTGGTGTCAGAAAAACCTCCCTGAAAACTCCATGTCAATCTGGGTCAACGGCAGACAAGGCTGGTGCATGGGCAGGTATGTAGCGAGGGCAGTGTCTCTGTAAAGGTCATGAGACCTAGGGAGGCCCAGCCTAAGCCTGACAATGGAGCAAGGGCAGTGGTGCATGCCCTAGGCAGGGGCGCAGCTGGCCCAGCCCTGGCCTTGTTACTATTTGCTGTTAAACAAAAACATGAGGGGAGCAGGAACTTGGGTCTGGCCTGGCCACAGTTTGTGAAGCCTGGAGACAGTTGCTAAGGGAGGGTGGTGCTGCTTGGAGAGCGTTGCTAAGGGTAGGATGGTGTCAGGGCGGCTTCAGGGAGAAGCTCCCAGTGCTGCTGGGCTGGGCTGGGCTGGGCTGGGATCAGGGGCCCAGGGTGGGGCATAGCAGCACTCCCTAAGCCTAGGGCACAACCGTGGCTTCCTGGCCCCTTGCCACTGATTGAAGCTGTAGCTTCTAGTCTGTGGAGCTTAAGAGTGGGAAACTGGAAGCAACCTAGGTAGAGGCTTGTACAGTAGCCCTAAACTCCATGCTGCCAATGGGACCGTGATCTTGGTGCCTCAATCCTTGACTGAAGCACGATCCCCTCGTCTACACTTCAGCCCTCCACTAAGGTGGTCTAACCACTAAGCATGACCACACCAGTCCACATATCTCAGATGCAATGAGCCCTGGCTCTCCACACCTCCGCCTTGTACCCACTGACCGTACCCACAGCCCTGCACTGAGACCTCTTCCACCCACACCCAAAGCCTTGAATTTGACCCTTTTCCCTTTCCATCCCCACAGACACTAAGACCCCCTGCATTGAACCCCCTCCCCAGCATGCCCACAGCCCTGCAGTAAAGTGTCCTACTACAGACCCCTGACCACCTCATCAGATCTCCACTGCACATCTCTGACCACACCCTCAGCCACACCCTGAAAGTCCCTCTCCAAATCAAACCCTGCGCACACTTGCATCTCCATTTTGCATCATCCTTTTAACTCACATTCTGAAGGCCCCAGCCACACTCACTAGCCAGACTCTGCATCCTTACAAGGCCCCCCTGGCTGTACCCTTAGAGCATCCCCGTTTGTCCATATACCTACAGCTTCTGACACAGCTCTGCCTTGAAATCCCCCAATCTGCAATAACACTCCCATACTTCCAGCAGAGCGCTGGACACCCACCACCACACACTCACACTGAGTTCCTGACCACACCCTTAACACTCCCTCTTTACTCATACACTAGAGCTATTGACACAGACCTGCCCTAAAGCCCCTCAAGAATCTAACCAGCACTGGCATCGCCATGCTCCAGCATCATGTAAGACATACCACCATCACCAACCACACCCACTGCAGCCTCCGACCACACCCTTATTCTCAGCCACCATCTTTACCTCTGCCTCTTAGAGAAAAATAGGTGTCAATGACCATAACCTGGTCCCCTGAACAGCTTCCTCCTCTTCCATTACTAGCTGGTCCACACTGAAAGGCCCTTCCTGGTGACCACACCTACTCCTCCATAAGTTGCAATTTTTAAGACTGAGAATCCCAAAGATCATCGCACTTTGCAGGGACCTCTGTGGGACTGTAAATGGGTACCCCACACGCCCTTTGCCTCAAGGATGTAAACGGGCCCGGGGAACCCAACACCCTGTACTGGATCACCAAGGGTAAATGTGTCCAGGGGAGTTCGGGTGCTACATGATGCTTTTTTCAAGGAAGTGGGAGGATCCTGAGCCTATTGCTCACTCCTGTCTATGGGAAGATGGATTTGGGAGCTGTTGAGGTGGAGCAGGATCACCGGCAGCTGCTCTGGGGTCCTCAGACCCTGGACACAGTGGTTACGCCTCTGAACTGAATCCGCTCATCAGCTCCTGCTGGGACAGCTGCAGTCATCAATCAACCTAGCAAGAAGGTGGGGGCAGGAGTGTGTGTGTGGAACCCTTGGGGCCAGAGCCAGGGTGCTCAGCTGGTATCCTCAGCTCAGTACCATCCGAGGTTGGTTCAGGTTGCTCCCACCCACACCTCCTTCTGGGGGATACGAATTAGGGTGGTCGATGTTCAGTCTCCTACCGGCTTCTACCTCTTAGCTGCTCCTGAGCGTGCCTTCGGACAGGACCCAGGAACTGATGCTGGAGACCAGGAGGCTCCACAGCTCCGCTCCCTGCCGGCTCCGGGGCGGGACTGCAACCCGGGCGGCTCCGTAGTATTATCCCCTGTTTCTCGGTCACCATAGAGACAGTGAGTCCCACCCCCTAGGCTGTCTCGGCGGGAGAGTGACCAAGGTCACGCTAGCTCCTCCCACCAGACCCCGCCCTATGTGCTCTGTGGGCTCTGGGCCCGCAGAGTTGCAGCGACAACCTTATCCTGCTCCTCCCCTCCAACCGCGGGCTTCAAGTGGCCAGAGCTGCCCTCTGCAGTCCTGGATGTCCTAGGATAGGAACTTCCATGGCCAATGGGAAAACAGCTCCCCAAAGTTCCAGTGGGGTCCCCAACCCTCAAAGGACTTCTGAACCTGAGACTGTCTAGGAGCTGAACTGAAGAAAAGAGCGGGATCCCGCCCCTCATTGACGAGGATCTAGAGCTAGCTCAAAGCCCACAGCTGCTGCTGAATCTGTGGCATTCACCTACTCCTAGGTTCTCAGTAGGTCAGATTCTGAAGCATTAGGGACTGAGACAGTGGATCACGCGTGCTTAGCCCCCAACCCCGAAATGCTGGGTACTTTGATGAAAGCAATTCCCGAACCTCGAGAATGGCTGCGTCCTTCCATTCTTGTGTCTCTGCCTCACAGCTTCTGTTCGGATGCACCTCCCTAACCTGCTTCCTCTTCAGTCTCCAACTGCAAATACTACTAAGCTAAATAACCTTGCTGGGTGTGGTGGCACATGCCTGCAATCTGGGGATTCGGGAGACTGAAGCAGTAGGTTCAAATTTTTCAAGGCTAGCCTGGGCTACAAAGGAAATGGGAGGAGGGACAGAGGAGAGTGGTAGTGCTTTGAACAAGACCCCATGTTTTTGATTCCCAACACTTAAAAGAAAAATCCTGTCCAGAGAACTTTCCTAACCTACCCCATTCTCTGCCCCAGGCTAGCAATGGTGGTCCTGCTTCTGTGAGACCCATGGATTTTTCCACTATGAAAATAAGCATTAAGTCCGCAAAAGCATAAAAAAAAAAAGTTTATTGGGGCATCGGCTGGTGGAGCAGATATTGCTGAGTCTTGGGTAAGGAAGGCCGATCCTGTCGGCCGTGAGGTCCCTAAAGTGCACTGGCTGCGGCGAATGAATACGGGGTGTTGCATAGAGTCTGGCCAGACGTTCCTACAAGGCCCTCCTGCCTCTAGTCCCCACTAAGGCAGGTCTTTACCGCCTCCAGGTGTGCTGGGCTCGCCGCTGCTCGGGCTCACGAAAACAGCGGGCGAACGTGCCTGTAGAGCCAGCCCAGACTCTCGGCCCTTGGCTCCTGGGGCGCCCAGTGCGGCACTGCCCAGGCGCGTCTGAGCCACTGGAATCTCTTCCATGGAGTCAGCAGATGCCGAGTAGTAGGCGCCTGCAGAGCCACCAGCATGCACTGGGCTGGCACTGGTGGAATCAGATGAAGAGCTGGAATGGCGGCTAGGAGTCCCAGTCTCTGCGCACAGAGGGGAACTTAGGTTGAGACAAGGGCTGCAGCTAGGACTTTAAAACCTTCCCCTCCCTCAAACTAATCCAATAGGATCCAAGCAGAGAGCGTTGCTCACCCCGTAGCCTGGGCAGCGGGAGCTCTCGGTCCAAGACCCCAGACCTGGGCAATCTATATACACGCCGCTTCCTCTTTTTCTGTAAAGGCAAAGGAAGTGTGGGCTGCTTCCCCAGACCCCATTTTGCCAAAAACAGCAGAGGTACTCATCAGAATGTAGGTTTCTTTTCCATCTCCCTCTTCTTGGGCAGAGGTCCAAACCCAGTCCCTCCTACCTGGGGTTGGATCCGTGGAGGCAGAGCCAGTGTGTCTGAGGAGGGCCGTGGTGGTTCCACTTGGCCTTGGGTGGCAAGAAACTGGGAAGGACTGAGGTAAAAGCCAGAGAGCAAACTCTAGATGCTGCCCCGGAGTCCCTCCTGCTAGAGGTTCCCTTCCTAGCAGGGCAGAGAGACACTAATCCATCCAAGATTTTGCTGAGCTGGACCCAGGCCCATTATTTGACCCTGACCTACCCTTTCGCCCACCCACGATGGGAATAGCCAGGTGGCACTTACTTGGCATTTAATGCCGCTGGCTGAGCCTGGCCAGAGGGCTCTGGACGCACATGGCTGAAAGTCCTCATGTAGAACTCCATCTCCTTGGGAAAGAGGGGTCAGGAAGGCTAAGAGACTATGTGTAGTTACAGAGAATCTTAAGCCCTGAGCACACCTGTTACTGGCCTCTCTGATACCTTGGTGGCCTCATGTCACAGAGGTCTAGGGATGTCTTCCTGGTTCTCGGATGCACTGGGAAAGCCCTTCTGCAAGGCAAGGCTTCAAACACACATTTCTAAATCTTACCTCATGACAAGGACTCACTTCATCTAGTCACGCTGCAACTATTCTACCTCAGGAAAGCCACAGCCTTAGGTCCAGTATGCCTAGACTGGGAAGCTTAGCCAAGAGGTTCACAGGGATGAAATGCTCAAGAGCGGCCTCACCTGCCCCTGGTTCCTCTTAGGCCTCCAGGCACCGAACTAACTTGTTCAGGGGCCAGGAAACCACAAAGCTACTCACAGGCCAGCATGTGCACTCCAGCCTGTGAACACTGGGGGGAGGGGGGGTCTGGCAACATACTGGGTGCACCTCTTATTCTCAGTGTACCAGCCATCATTTTGGCTGCTGGGAAGGAGAATGTGAGAACAGTCATTGCTGTCCCTATTTCCCAGAAGGAAAGGGTACAGGTGACACAACCCCAAGCAAAAGGGCTGGCACCACTGCATGCCAGATGCCCCCAGCTTTGCTAGAGAGAATTGCAGGTGAAGAAATAAAAGACCAGGAAAAGTCATGGGGGGTGGGGAGAAGAGAGTGGGGCAGAGGGCAAAAGGTGGGGCCAGTGAGCTGGAGGGAGCACCCAGACAGCTGTCGCCTGCTAGGCAGTTGTTTCCATGGTGACAGAGGCGTCCTGACTAAGGCAGAGACGATACTGTAACAGAAAGCCGTCTCTAAAACAAGCCTATGTTTTGGGGGCAACGGCTCTAGAGAGGGGCCCCTCCCAAATTCCTGCAGGGTGGGGGTTGGGAGGCTGCCTGCTGGGTCCCTGAGAGTTTTAGGGACTAGGACAAGGCCCAGCCAACCACTGGCTGACTGCACAGGTGCAAATACTGAGGCCCAGATGAGCCCCAGGCTCAAACTCTGCCCAAGATGACCCTTAGAGGCGGGTACAGGAATAGCTGACCAAGCAGAACAGCACAGTGATCAGAAGCTAGTCTCAAGTCCCGGGGCCCTAAGGTCATTTTCCTCATGTTTTCCCGTCCTTCAGTAGGAACTCAGCAAAGACTAGCTACCTTGGATCCCTTAGACTCGAGGATAGGCTAGAAGTCAACGCCTAACTAGCTAAAGGAAAGAGAAGCTATCACAGGAAGGTGCCTGCTTAGGCTTCCTCCTCTCCTCAGAGCTGAGGCTTGCCGTTCCTCAGAGACCCTCAAACATCCCCACATTCCTGAATGGTGCTTTGGGGCCTCAGCCTTAGCTCTCTCTTCTGTCAAAGGGGACAAACACCTGGCTTCTACAGGACAGGCTTCCCTTTAGTTAGCTACAAACAGAACAGAATTCAATGTCTTTGCTGCTGTCACAGTTGGGCCCAAAGCCTAAGCAGGGTAAAGGGTACAGAAGCCTGGAGTCTGGGCATCCCAGAGCAAGCCTAGCGTACTTACTCTACAGATACTCTAGGATGGCTGCCACTATCTTATAAGGTTTAGTGCCCAGCACCAGGCAGGCATGGGATGGTGTGATGGGGGTTTTCTCCCAGTTGGTAGCACTCTTCAGCTTGGCCCATAGGCAGGGTTCAAGCTCTGGAGATGAGAAAAAGAGAGGCAGGGTCCTTTTCCAAACCGCCCACCAGCCTGTGTTTGTATCCAGTTGCCATGAGGATTTGGGATCCAGGGCTCAGCCTTCCCAGCAAACACTGCCTGGGCCCCCTGCCTTTACAGTCCCTAGGGGCTTTGAAGACTGGACCACCTCCATCCCCAGCTGCTGACCTCAGGAAGCCAGGGGGCGTGGGAATGGGGACAGGCTGGTCTGCAGCTGGGCTGACTAGGCCAAAGCCTAGGGTGCAGGGTTCCTTGTCCTCTATGCATGGAGACCTTAACTCTCCTCAGACAGGGCTGCCTTTTAACCTTTCTGGACATCAATATGGCCATCTCTAACATGGACTGTAAACAGTTGTCCCTGTTCTAAAACTAAAATAGGATACGATATAAGAAGTCGTGGTTACAGATAAAAAGAACGGATGGTTATGGTCTAACCCAGCCAGTTGTCAACCGAGGGCTGGCGTCCTCTACCATATGCCAAGTGCCTGCACAGGAAGGCACATGGGACTACGGAAACACAGGGCTCCCTTTGGCTATGTTGGTTCCCATGTGCCCAGCTTGGGTTGGGTCCTGAGTCTCCAGGACCTCACTGGAGCTGCTGTTGTAGGCTTGCTTCCCTTGCGTAGTCTCCTCCATGGCTCTTGCTGCACAGCCTCATTCCCCACCACACACAAATACACCCAAGCCCACCTCTCAGGGCCTCTATACCTGAATGGACCGCATCTTGCGGGGGCATGACTCCAGCTCTTTGTGGGTCTCCTTTGCTTCCTGAGCTGGACGGTGTTGCACGATGTATTCATAGGTGGTGAGCTTGTGCCACACTGGTGGGTGTGGGAAGAGACGGGTCAGTAATGGAGAGGTAACCCCGGAACCCAAAAGGGAGGGCAGCTGGCACTAGGTTCAAAACCCTATCACACTTACAGTAAGCAGTAGGGCAAAAGCAGGCCAACCACAAAGAGCCAGCACTCTAAGGTCCATGACTTTAAGGTTCACAGCCCCAAAGGGTTCCTCCCTGCAGTCAAGACTCTATCCCCTTCAAGGCAAGTTTTGAGGAGGCACTTACTTAAATAAATGTGGAAGCAGAGCAGGTGGCCAAGCAGGGCTGTAGAAAGCAGGCCCAGAAGGATGAGTAGGGCGGCCAGGGCCAGGATGGCAGGAGCCTGGGTCTCCACGGGGGCAGCAGGCAGGAACACAAACCACACATCTGTGTGATTCTTCAAGACTGCAGGGCACAGGCACACTGTGCTTAGCCAGGGGTTAGGGTTGCACTAACTAAAACAAGTCTGTGTCTAGAACCCACACCGACCTTCAAAGTGTTGGTTGGTACGAAGTCGCATGGGGTTGACAAAGAACTCCACGAAGACATAGGTAGCCACCAGCACCAGGAGCAGAACACCCAATAAAGCAGATGCCACGCTGTGTAGAAAGAGCCTGGCCCAACCACGGGCGGCTGTCAGCACTCAGGGGCTCCAGCTTACTGAGAAGCCAGGCTCCCGACCCCAACATCTGCTCAGAAGTCCCAGGCATAGAGGCTTAAGGATCTATTAAAGCATCCACTTCGCAGGCTCCCCGTCTTTGCCTGGACCAATAGGATGGCGGACTCTGAACCCACCCTCTGCCTTCCCAAACATCACCTCCTCAACATGCGGGCATCCCCACCCACAACTGTATACCATATTACAAGCTGTCCTCACTAGATCAGGAAACCCCAGGTCCCAGCTGATTCTCACCGATAGTTCCTCTCGCCCACGCAGTTGTTGAGCCACTTGCAATGATGATCGAAGCCGCAAACGCACTTATTGCAGGCGCTGCAGTGTTTGGATCGCGCACTTCTGCGGAAGGTTGGGGGGAAGGCACCTGGTGGTCAGCCAGCCCATCCAGTCCCGGCCCGTGTAGCCACCTGAGTCAAGCCTGGTTCCTGATTACCCACAGGTACCTCTGCCCTTCCTCAGACCTCAGCAATGAGGAGCGCACGCGCCCTCTGGCGGAAACAGGAGGTGGGACCCCTGGAGAAGGTGCTGAGGATCGTGGTAGAGGGAAGAGGGGTGTCTTGTGAGGTCCTACTCTTGAACTACATACCTACAGAACGGTCACATGAGAAGGAAAGGAGGCATCCTTTCCAAGCAAGGACATCTGTGCCAGACCACACACAAGATGCAGGTGTGGGACCCGAGGCAAAATGCATAGCTGCCCGACTGGTACTTTATTTGCACTTCTAACAGCTCCGTTTGGGGTCACTTTCCTTGCCATCCTACAGGGATTTTTCTGGCATTCTTCCAGAAGACATGTGTGGGCTGACTGTAAAGGAGCCAAAAGGAGAAGTGTTCGCTGTCATACAGGGGCATTAAGGAAACTCATGGGCAAGGAACAAGTGAGAGAGGGCCACATCGGGATACTAGTGGGGTGGATCATGGAAGATGCGAATGAGTATGGGAGAACAGGGCATCCTTCCGTCACTGGTGGGAAGCAACTGCCAGAGCCATTCGGAACATGTGCCGGCTGTGCTTAGGGAACAGCAGTAGGCATTCTGGTTCCGGTAGACAGACCCTTCTAGCAGGCTACTCTGGGCCTTCAGATTCCAAGTGTGTAGCTGGCCTTGGGCTGCACTCTATCCCTCAACCCACACTCGAGTCTCAGAGACGGCAAAGCTCCAGTAATGTAGGGAGGAGTCCCAAAGAGGCACTGTAATTTGCCAAAGAAAAATGGGTGTTCCACATTCTGTCTCCTCTTCTCACTAGCAGGAGGACCTGGAGCACGCCACTGGCCTCTCTGCCTCAGACTCCTGGCGGGTAACTGAGTGAATGTGCTGGGGGCCAGACAGCCAGTGTGCCCTTGACTCTGCTCAGTAGTCTTTGACTACTAGTCTTCGTGACTTCAGGACACTGTCCAGCTCTCTGAGCAGTAGGCTCTGGCTCTTTTGTTTAAAAATGCAGCGTTTAGCACAGAACATTCAAGCCTTGACTCCCCTCCTCCCCCATCTGGGCACTGAAGTTGTCACTGGTAGAGCTAGTCATTTACAAATGTTTTTGTGCTGCCAAACGCCTTCTGCTTTTGCTATAAGAAATGCTATGCCTTCTTCCCCTCAATCACTATCTCAGGTCACGCCACCAAACTTTTTGTTGTTTTTGTTTTTTGAACCTGTCTTATTATATAGCCCTGACTACATAATAGTAGTAGTCAAACTCACTGAAATCCTGCCTCAGCCTCCCAATGGCTAGGATTACAGATAAGCACCACCATGCCCAGCTCCACCAAGACTCTTTTTTGTTTTGTTTTTGAGACAGAGTCTTACTGTGCAGCTCTGGATGTCCAGGAACTCTGTAGACCAGGCTGGCCTGTTTCACACAGAGATCTGCCTGCCCCTGCCTGCTGAGTGCTAGAGTTTAAGGCATGCCCCAGCACACCCACCCTCCACCCTCTCCATTATAGAAAGTACAAGTGTTCAGAGGTGTAAGTGTCATGGAGAAGCCTGGTGTGACCCTGCAGGCACACGCTCATGCACTCACACATCCACGTCGCACAGATTGCAGTGCAGGTCTTCAATGACATGTGCATGCTGGCTGCGGTTGAAGAGAGGCAGGGGCCCAGAATAGCTCTTGTCCCGTACATTGGCATCTGCTGGATCGATGGAGACAGCAGTCAGGTGCACCACAAGGTGGCCAGCAAAGATGGCACCCATGCACTAGCCCAGCAGGTTAAAGACTCAGTCCGTACTCTGAAAACCAGGAGTCCCACCCACTCTCCTGCACAGAGTATTCTCTTGTCCATGCAGACTTCCTTTACACAGAGCCTTTACCTATGCTATGTTCTCCTGGCCCATAGGAACCTCCTCACCAAACTTCTTTATCAGACCCCATACCATACCCTCTATCAAAAAGACTCATATGATAATGGAGTCCAAAGACCAGTAGTCCTTACTACTGCCACCAAGAAATCTAGCCAAACAGCCTTGGTCTCAACATTTCAGGCCTGGTGCAAGCCAGTTTCTGGTCTCAGATTCCAGAAGGTGATGGAGACTAAAAGATATCACCTTCTAAAGTCCAAAGACCTTAGCTGAAATTCTGAGCTTGTTTTTCTTGCTTTCACATGAAGCCATTTCCAAGCGGAAGCAGCTACTACCTTTTAATAGCTAGGGCCAGATGGAGAACCACTTGCAGACAGGATTCATCTACTTGAAGCTTCCCCCCACCCAAGTCTGGGTACTTGGCACCCTAAGCTGAGTGTCTGGGGTGGCCTTACATGTTTAGAGTTAGCCAAAGCACTGTAGCTAACTTCTAGAACTGAAATGAAGCATTCCCAGGACTTAGCCAAGCCAAATACAGGAAATGAGTATGCTACCTACTAGCTGCAAAATCTATATACAAACTTACCAACAGGTTCCACCCAGGTAGGGATATACCTTATTTTCTTCCCTTCACCTATTCAATACAATCCTTCTTTATCTGCCTGCTGGCCAGGCAGACGCCATCCCTCTATTGCTCAGGACCTAACCGTTATTCATCCTTTACCCATCGGCTGTCCAACATCCTCACCTCACTCAGTAGCCAAATTCCTCTATCTGTCTGAAGGAGCCAGGCTCTTCCAGAATGTGCTGTACCAGAGCTCAAAGAGCCAAATAGCACTCAGCCCTGAGCTCTCCGTCCTTACGGCCGAGGCGATGGGTCAGCTCTCCCCCTCTTGATAGGTCACTTAAGAACCTCACACTCTTCTCCAAAGTCTAAAGCCTACACGTAAGCTCGTCCCTGCATCAAGGCCTACAGTGGCTCTAAGTGGCTCTCTAACTGAAGTTCATGCCTTATCCAGGGGCCAAAGCTTGCCTTGCTCTGGCTTCTCCCAACTCTAGACACTCAGTGTGGGCAAACATTGAGCTCCTGCCTTCTCCCAGCTCCCTTCACCGGTTCATTCACTCAGCTGTGTGCAGCTCTTTCCTTCACGAAGGAATATAGAAAGAGTTGGTTCTGAGCTCTAAGAAACCTGCTGTGTGATAGACAGCACAGATATTAACCAAACAACAGGTCAGTTAGATGAGGGGCTATACGTTTGTGACTGGTGACTTTAGTCCAACAGGGTCTGGAAGACTTCTCTGAAGAAGTGTCATCTCAGCTGAGATGTGGAAAAGAATAACGGCTTTGGAAGGCAAGGCAGAGGGAAAGGACTGGGACTAAGTGCTACGGATATCAGAAACATGTAAAGTGTCAATCAGGGGGGTGGCTGAAATATCGTCCCAGCTCATGACTGACATATACTAACGAGGGTCCATGCTGCCAAATGCTGAGCTTTCAAAAGAAACAAACAAACAAATTCTAGGCTCCCATGTGAGCTCTCTCAATGTTAAATGTTAAAGAAATAAATGATCTCAAAACATTAAACTGTCCAGTTTAGGTATTAATCATTGCAAAATTTGCCAACCAGATTGTGCCACTGATCTGTCACTTCTTGACCTGTGATCGGCTGGGTGGTGAGGCGAGGGCTTCTAGGAAGAGATCACTGTTGTCAAAATGAGGAGATAAAAGGAGGCTGAATAGACAGGAAGACCACACTGGAGAAAGCCACGCAGACCTAGTGAGGTCCTCAGCCTCATCTCCAGCAGGAAAAGGCTGCTGGATTTTGAGCTGGTGAAATATTATCTCTGTGTGTGTGTGTGTGTGTGTGTGTGTGTGTGTGTGTGTGTGTGTGTGTGTGT